GGTTCATGTTGACCCAGTGGCTGCCGTCCACCGGGAACACCAGAATCTTTCCGCTCTGGACGCTTGGGCTTGTCAGGAGGGACACACTCACCACCACAAGCAGAAAGGAAACACCTGGGATGCTCCCCATCGATTAACCCTGAAGGGAAAGGACAAACATTCAAGTGTCGTGTGAGCAACTGTAAAATTCATAAGTCTTTATGTCACGTTTGATGTGTTAATGATCTCTATTGAATTCCATCAACTGACAAACTTATTCAACCAGCTGGGAATCACAACCAGCCACAAACAACACTGACATGAACACAGTACTGTAGCTTCTATCGAGGGCACTGAGGTCATGTCTAACACATTCTCACTCCGACCTCGTCACATACTGACGTTTACATACAGTCTCTTTCAAAATAAAAGCACTACGTCGGTGATACAGTGGGGGACTTTGAGTCACCTTCTTTTTCACAGAACGAAACATGGTCAGTATTCCCTCAGATATCGTGATGTACAGATCTGGAACACCAACGTTCATGTTGTCAAGAGCTCTTCGAAATTATCATTACATTTATTCATGATTCATGATGGTGTTCCATGTATCTCTCGGTTTTTATTTTTCACTGACTGCTCAGTGTTTCCTGTTGTCATTTCTCTTTGGTTGTACTTTTCTGTAATAGTTTAGTTCTTGTGTCTACTTTTCTCCCTAATTTTGTTACTGTCTGTTTTTCTCCTTAAGTTGAGGGAAGGACTGTTTGTATAAGCCTGTGGCTTCTTGACCTCTCCTGACACACTTATCTTTTTTACTATTTGGATTGTATGCAGTTTTATGCGTGCAAATAAAAAATAATAATTATAATAACTAAAATAAAAGAACCGCGGTATTTCTAAAATTTTGGCTGCAACCCTGCATGGACACACTGTCATTACCATTACAGTAGGTTTCCACAATTCAGTTTTATTAAAAAAGAGGAACAAAAAACCCCACTTCATCTGCTTTAAAATGTATTTAATTGTAGTTTGTTCTGCTTGTGCTTACAGCCAGTCTGGACAGCCTGCTGCTATCACCCATGTTTTTGTAGGCTACCTTTTAACCCCAACATTTGAGATGGTTTCATCTGCAAATTCAGAGACCTGCAGTGAAGATTTAGATCAAACCAGAGGATGCCCACAGAGCCTGAATTTTAAAAAAAAACATGTTGCTTTAACAGAAGTCCAGAGGAATGCACAGGCTCAGTAATGCCTGCTGTTCCTGTGGTCTATAATCTCATCTGCATTCAGCAGGGACCTGCTAACAAGCTAACAACACTTAGCAGCAGCAATAGCATGCAGAAAGGAAACATGCCCTCAAGTGTCAGGTTTCCTTTCTGCATGTCTATTGTTGGGAAAGTTAAAAGAGGAATCTGACACTGTGCTCTCAGGTCAGCCACATTTCTATAGTTATTTAAAATTCTTCACAAGTTACCAAAACAGTGAAGCTGTGAAGGCATGAGACTGAGCTGTTAATGCACTGTGAGAAAAGGAGTTGTGACATACCTTCAATCCCTTTAACAGTGGAGAAATGTCGAGCCTGCTGTGGACAAGTGAGGCCCAGCGCCTGCATGGAGAAAGGATCCAAACTCCAAACCCGATTATTGTGTTACATAAGGAAGAGTGGGTGTTAGGGGAAGAGGGTGGACCTCAGTATGTATGTGTGTATTTTGAAGGGGAGGAGAGGCAAAGAGTTTTCGCACAGAGCCCTCCCTCTTTTTCTGCACTGCACACACACTCACGGAGGAGTAACACAATATCTTCAAATGTTGTGGGGGTTTTTTGTGGCTTGCTGTGACCACAATGAGCTCATTCCCACAGGAAATATTCCACTGATAAGAAAAATACTTTATCAAGGAAAGAGAAGTTCCAAGAATACAAGTACTTTCTTCTTCATGTGTGTTCAGTCAGTTGAAGAAATGATTGGAGAAGTGTTTAAGGGATTTCTGGCTCCCATGGAGCAGCATGCAAGCTGTACACACAACAGAGACATATTAGCACCCTATTAACTTGTCATGGCTACGGTTATCCACCTTACACAAATGCAAAAACTAAAGATTGTGAAGCTTCTTTTAGGCTGCTGTCAGCCCTAGAGTCGTCTCCTCTGGTCTGAATCAGGGACTCATGTTGTTCCAAAGTTGTATAATTGCCTAGAGTTGGTTGGTGTTCTCACGGCAGCATTTACAAGAGGACCAGATCAAATGCCTTGTGTGAGAAAGCTGCTCTTGATTGGTCAGAATTTCCATGTGGGAAAAATCCAGGAAGTAAAGCAAACGTTGAAGAAGAGTACACTTGCAAGATAAATGTGACACTTTCTAATGTCACAATGGAGGGACAACTACGCAGGTTGATTTTAGCGCTGCTCATCGTGGACTATATTGCTGTCATTGTTCATTTTAGTCAAATCATACAGTTTGAAAACGAGGCGCGGCTCCAACTAGAAAACAATGTTTTGATGCATTGGATGTGCTGAATGTGCATATTAAGGCAGTACAGGAGGAGGTGCACATTAATAATCCTCCAGGACTGTAACATGCTCATGTTTAACCCAAACAATGTGTCATGTGACTGCAGTTGCTTCACATCCAGGTCGCAACACCTTCTCACCACAAACCAACCGCACCAGAGTTCCTTTGGAACCGGACTGAGACCACCTCTTCAAGAAGGTCTCAGTCCGGTTGTTTTGTTGTGTTCACACCTGCACAAACGAACCACACTGAGGGGGAAAATGAATTTGAGTTTGACTGAACCGAACCAAACAGAGCAGGTGTGACAGCACCCCTAGACTAGAAACACCGTTGAGCACTTTCTCATCCAAGCTAAAGGCCCTGACACACCAAAACGACATCAAAGAACTAGCGGCGATGAAAGCCAACTGTTGCGTCGTCTACATCGCCTCACGTCGCCCTGTATCAGTTGCATTTGAACACACTACAAAGATTACATCCTACGGCCAAGTAGGACGTACGTTCTGCGCCTGTGTGAGAGGAAATAATGCAAAAAGGGAAACCGGAAGTCCGAGGAATGCATGAGATAAACAAAGTAGCGGAGTGAGAGAGTGGTACATCCTGTCAGCCGAGGGGTTTCCTATCTGTGCAGCTGAGCACCGCAGCACCTCCACGGACTATTACATCCAGACGGTCCCGGTGTTTCCTCCTCAGGCTCCACTTCACTCAGCTGCCCGATAAACCCGCTGCTTCTTCCCACTTTAACCTGAATAACAAACCAGGGCTCGGTGCTCCGGTTGGATCCAAACGGAGAGCCGGAGCTAGCTCAGAGACTAGCGGAGGCTAACAGCGGGTCTGTGGGGCAGCTGAGTGAAGTGGAGCCTGAGGAGGAAGCACCGGTTAGCCCCGGTTTCACTACAGGCAGATTCACTCGCTACAGGGGCGAAGAAATAAAACCTGAACAGCCAATCAGAGTGATTTCTCTCACCAACAAGCTCCGCCTCCGATTCAACATGCTCAATCGGCTGAAAAACCGCCGACACCAAAGTTCCGATGGTGTGGGACACACCGCAAAAACTAGGGCGACAGACGCTCACCGACGGCCCGACTTTGGTCGACAGCTGACCGTTGGCTTGGTGTGTCAGGGCCTTTAGTCTTCTTGTCACTGCTTTTAATTAATACGATCCCAAAATGCCAGTCTCCTGAAAATTCCAAAAATAAATAAAACATAACTAGGTGGTCGGGGCCTCGACTTATCAACCTCTGCCTCTCACCACCTCTCGACTGCATATGTTGCAATGAAAAGTAAAAGTTTTGGTGAGCCCGTGTGAATTGTAGCCTCAGTTTCCTGTTGTTAGCTGACAGGAGTGGCACCTGGTGTGGTCTTCTGCTGCTGTAGCCCATCTGCTTCAAGGTTGGACAAGGTGTTGTTACTTCAGAGATGCTCTTCTGCACACCTTGGTTGGAACCAGTGCTTATTTGACTTCCTGTTGCCTTTCTATCATCTTGAACCAGTCTGGCCATTCTCCTCTGACCTCTGGCACCAACAACCATGCCACGTTCAAAGTCACTTCAATCACCTTTCTTCATCATTCTGATGCTCCGTTTGAACTTCAGCAGCTCGTCTTCACCATGTCTACATGACTAAATGCATTGAGCTGCTGACACCTGATTGGCTGATTGCATTAAGAAGCAGTTGAACAGGTGGCCGGTGAGCGTAAATTGCACAAAGCAGGGCTGCCATTTTTTTCAAACTTAAATATTCCCTGTGAGCTGATTATTTATCCAATCTGATGTTTTGCTTTGTTTTCCAAAAAACAACTGCATTAAATAAAGTTTGATGGTGGTCTTGTGTCTGTGTTGGGAAAGTACCTTTAGTTTTACACATCTGAAGTCTTACTTTTAGTGGGTTTTTTTCCTCCTCTGTGACTGGTTGGGACATTTAGGTGCTTTTCTCCAGGTACTTTACACTGTTTTAAACAGAAAAATGTTTTCAGCATCAACTGATTTCTGAATTTAAGGGATAAGGGTTTTGGTTTTTTTTTTAAAACATTTTTCTTGTTGTCAGCACATTTCATGAAGACACTGAAACGAACAATGTCTTCATCTATCTGTCTCTCACTTCCCTATTCTGTCTGTGAATTTCTGAAAACAGCTGGTTGCTGCAGTTTTCAGCAAATGTCCCTCAAACAGAAGGAAACAGAGCATTTGTTGGGGACTATTTTCAGTGGTGGATGAATCCTGGTTTAGTGTAACACATCAGTTTTGCTGCTGTAGAGTAAAGTAATTATAGTTTTATTGCCTCTGAGCTCAACTCTTCGTACGTAGGAGGAAGTTTGTGAGTCTGGTTGTAAGTGAAGTTTACTGAGATGCAACAGTCACAGCAGATTCAGCAGATTTCTTCCTCGTAGAAAATGGATGACTGAAACTAATGTTGAACCAGTTGTTCTGCTTTCACTCAGAAGTCACGTGTTAATGAAAAGGAGAACGTCTCTCCATTAATCGAGCCTGCATTTCACTGAGAGTCTGTGTGAAGGCATGACACAACTTTGGTTTCATCGCCTCTGGATTTCACCACTGACCGTCACTTGTCAACATGTCATGTTTCAGCACTCAGGCTGCGCTCGTCTTGGTCTTCACTGGAGGGTGGTGCATGTGTGCAGCTGATGTTGGGGATTTCACTCCATGTCTGCAGTTCTTCTATAAGTCGTGGCCTCCTAAAGGTCTGACTGGGACGCCTATCTGCCAGCGTTTTAACAATCAGTACCGCTTTGCCACGCTGTACAGTCGACCGCGCCGCTCCCCATGGTTCTCGGCCTATTTGTACTCTGTCCCAGAGGGAAGGAGACCCACCGCGTGTTGGAAGTTTGAACCACAGGTGAGAAAATATTGAGTTGATTTAAAGATTTGAAACTGTAATGTTAGGGACACATAAAAATAAGTATTAAAGACATGTCACTTTAAATGTTTATGATCAACTGAAGCGTTTCTTTGTGCGTGAGGAAACTCTGCTACGTCTTAAACTACTGTAAAACTTCAAATAAAAGCTACTGCCAATTAAACGCCTAGTCTCTTTTACTGGCCTGGTGTGGCTACACATTTTGACAAATAAATGCCTGTCTCAATTAGAGGCCTGGTCTGGTTGCCAAACAGTTCATTTATATAAATATTCTTTGGATGTATAAAACAGGGTGGTTTGCTACCCGCAGGAGCTAACATTATATAACATTATAGTTAGCTGCTCTGATCACCCATACAAATGTAAGTTTTTAAACTTTTATCGATATGGAGATGCTACACATTGTAGCTGTCTCGTATAGACGCCTGTCCTAAATGTAAGCTCAGTGATTTAAGCAAACAATAGCCCGGGCTATAAATTGAAGTTAATAATGAAAACAGACTCTTTACAAAGCCTCCTGGAAAATGCATCGTCACAAAGCTGAAAACAGGACTGTAGGATTTAGGGGGACATACTGGCAGAAATGGAATATATAAAATAATTTTGTTTCTTCAGCGTATAATTACCTTAAAATAAGAATCATTGTGTTTTGTTAACTAAGAATGAGCCGTTTATATCTACAAAGGGAGCAGGTCCTCGTACACAGAGATCACCATGTTGCACCACCATGTTTCTACAGTAGCCCAGAATGGACAAACCAAACACTGGCTCTTAATAGAGACATTTACGTTTCCCTTTTTTGTGTCAGCCACCATGACTTGCATCCCTTCTGTGATGAGATTGTTGGAAAACACTGATTTTTTAAAAACTGTGAAACTGCTTTATTCAGTGTTTCTATTGGTTTATATCACCGGGTGCGTTTGTTTCGGAGAGGAAGAGGATAAAAAGGCTCAGGGTAAGAAAAACCTCCTAAAGGTCTGGATCAGAAAAAAGGTGAGCGCACATTAGCAGATGCTAGTGGTCTGCAGATCCCGACCACACTGTGTTGTGTTCTCGTGTCAAACTCAGGTTAGTTCCTGTTATGAGTCCACACAGAGCAAAACACTGTTGTGTGTATTCTATCTTCACAACAACACACCTAACATGAGAAAAAGACAAGCTTTAACATGTATCCCATGCAAAGACTCTACTCTGATGATATTCTACGTTAATAAGCTGCTCTGTGCACTTAAATCAACATCAGAAGGTATAATTCTCTGTTTGTAATTGCGCTCCTATGAATATTTTCCTCTTGAGTTCACTGCAGACTAACGAGAAGCTGGAGGCAGTGCGGCACGTCTACTCACACAAACAATTGACCTATGGCTAAGCCACGCCCCCTCCACTCACTCGGACAAACTATCAACATTCAGTGAGCGGCGCTATGGCAGGTGTCACAGTACACGGCATTTCACAGGAGGCGACTGATGATTTTTGGAGACATAACGATCAGATGTCATTGAGAAGTAACCAAAAGGGCCTAAACTACGCATTGGAGGGATATATTCATCATTTTATTGTTGAGAAGGTCGATGAAAAGCTTAAATTACAAGCCAAAATTTACAGGTCACAGTGTACGCTTGTGAACCGCATCTGGTTGCCGTCACCATCAAAGACAACAAGTTAAAGTGCCACTGAAGTTAAGGTTTTTGGCTCAGAATATGAGAAAAGGATAACGGCCTTTTTACCATCTTTACCAAGAGTGTCTCTTCGTTAGTTTGGTGCTACAGTATTTACACTGAATCATTCAGCATAACGTTTGCCAACCTTTGTTATCTCTGCCATTACAGATAAGTTAATGAAGCTAAGCTCCAGAAGTTAACGTTAGCTTAACTAGAGCCCTTTGGACAACAGCTAACAATGATGTACGATCACCAAAGTACAAAACTAGAACAAAATAGGCTAATGAACTCCCAGCAAACAAGGTGACATGATGAACAACGCAGCTAGGAGCTAACGTTAGGCTAACTTTAGCTAACGTTAGCTAGAGATGTTAAAGATAACTTTATATTTCTTTCCAGCAAAGTGACAATATGTTGCCTCAAACACAATGTTGACTTACCTTAGAACAGATGTAGACATCATTGTTAATCTTATTCACGTTGAGTTGATGTTGTGGTCTAACGTTACCACACAACTTTATCCAAAGGAGACACTTTTCTCGCTTGAGATGTGGTATTTCCAGTAATTTTTCTATCTGCTACACCAGGCTAGCAGAACAAATCTCACATGCCAAACAGCACAAAGGAAACACTGATTTGTAACTTGAAATTGATTTATTTACCAGCTTTAATCAGCTGGTCTGTTTGTTTTGGAGAGGAGGAAACCTCTGTGGATAATTCAGCTCCTGGTAAAAACCTCCTGAACAGTGAACACTGAAGGAATTCTAACCAGGAGAAGTTTCAGCTGGTTGCAATCTGCAGTCCTCACTAAATCCCCCTGAACACACGGCTCCTTTAACAGTTTGTGTCACTTTGTCTTTTTTACACAGCATGTTTGCACTGAAACAAGAATTCTTCAACATGTTAAAAAAAGATAAACTTTATAAAGGAGTTCCAGTTTCCAGTTTAGCATCAGTGATATAACATCTGGCACAGTGAGACGCTCTCAGAGCGCTGACATCAAATAACAAGAAATGAGGAAATGAAGGAGAACTTCCTCATCTGTGTGTTTATGGTCTATCATCTCTCCACGGCCCAAAGAACACTGTGCTGCTCATGCATTTAAATTTGATAATCGTGTAAACTCATCTGGTACGCTACATGGCCAAAAGTATGCGGACAGCCAAACAATACTTCCTCATGTGATTAAGTGGTAATTAGGAAGCGGTCTGCTGCTTTAAATATCTGTGAGGTCTGGCTCAGAGTTGGCGGAGCTATTGTGAGGTGTTGGATGAGGTTGAGCTCTGAAAATACACTAAAAATATAACTGTAAGCAGCAGCATTAACATTTCTTCCTCTGTTCGTAACCAGGGCTGTGTTTAGTATCTTTCCTGAAGTTTAATCACCATATTCTACAGAACAGTTACAAGCAAATTACTCATCTGATTCTGGTTCTTTTAAAGATCAACAGCGAACAAATAAATAAATAATAAATGCAAAAAAATATCAGATTACAATAAAAAAGGAGGGATTATTATTATTATCACTCAGCTATAATTATTTTCCAGGCGGTATGCTGAAGGTTTCAAAACAGCCTTCAACAGTGGTGTAGTGGTAGTTGATGATGTGGGTGTACTGCTACATAGGCAGGGTTCGAACTATAAACTGAGCTTCGTGGGGGTCTCCAAAATAACAGTGCAAAATAACTCAATTCATGCCCACACAGCAATGGGACTTACAATTTTTAATCAGCCGTATTTCACCACCTTCCTTTGAAAACAGCCAGGGGTATCTTTCCTTCCAGGATCTCCACTGGTCCTCTCCCCAGTTCTGTGGGGAACTGCCCATTGTTCCGACCATATTAAACCCATTGTTCCGAAGTCCCGTTGTTCCGAAATCACCATGATGCCCTGTGGTTAAGGTCTGGTTAGGTTTAGGCACAAAAACCACTTGGTTAGGGTTAGGGTTAGGAAAAGATCATGGTGTGGGTTAAAATGAAAAAGAAAGTGGCAAACACATAAGCTGTGAGCCTGCTCCGCCTCAATCCTTTCCCAGCTGACCCAGAGCCGATCGTGGCGCAATATCAAGGTAGAAATATGCCCGCCGGGAGCCGTTCAGCACCGCGGACCGTTGGACTAATGGGATGCCGGACCAATGGGCTGTCGGAACAATGACATGGACCCGTTCTGTGGCGGTCGTTCAGCCCCACGAGCTTGATCTTCATCTTGCTCCTCTTCGGAACTGTCTGTGGCTGCCACAGTAGGCCTAACGTTACCACGTGTGGTCTCACATTCAGGCCTGGTAGAGTCCTCAGCAACGTTAGCAGCCGAGCTAACATTGGTGTTGGCTATCGTTAGCCGTAACAGGTTCTTCACTTGTGGGTTTTTTGAGAAAAAAAACAAAATGTTCAAGACTCAAACCTTGAAGCAGCCTTTTTTTCGGCAGCATGACATAGCTATAGCTTGGAAATACAGGCAAACTCGCTTGATGATAAGTCATGCGTTTTTTTTTATGTAACGTCAGTGTTCCCATGCTGTCAAAGTCAACTCATAGTAGAACAGTAGCCTATTCTACAGTGCCCCATGGTGTCTTGGCGCCGTAATTGCAGCCAAAGGCCTGTCATTCACGGGAGAATATCGTCGTTCTTTTGGAAAACATTTGTTTATTTTGGACTAGTTATTTATCTCACTAACTTAAATGATACTCATTACACTGAAAAATACATAATTTGTGATAAAATAGTGGTTGTTAATGTTTTGTTAGAGACCCCCACAGATGTATGGTTTTACAGCTTTCATGGGAGCTAATGTCCTCTTTATGGGAGCTCAGTTCCCACTGGCTCCCACATAGTTGAAACTCTGTACATAGGTAGGTTACCGATGAGGAAGTAGGTATACTCTCCTTTATATTACAATGGCTTTTTGGCTGATAGGTGGGCATACTGTAACTGGATAGAAAAAGAAGTGGGTATACCCCGTATACCTGAGTATACCCTCCACTACACCACTGGCCTTTAAACTATAGCAAGCGTACAGAAAAGATGATTCAGTTGGGCTATTATTTGCTTTAATCACTGAAGTCAACAGACCTATATCTGGGACAGGCCTTTAACTCTTTCACACAAAACTGTTGCTCTGCAAAAATCAGGAAATACAATCAAATTGTTGATTTAAACCAGTATGAATATCACTTGTTTGATAATCAGGCTTCACATAATATATCAATTATGAATTGTTCATTTGATCCAGCTCAGACAGACAGCGCATTATATTTTCCTTTTGATCTGAGGACACTTACAGAACAAAGGAATATGAATAACTTACAGAGTAAGAAGGAATTTGAGGAAGCCAACAACCTGATTTTATACAGCCGAGGAACTTCTATGAAAAAAAAAAAGAACGGGACCAGGCCTCTAATGACGAGGCATTTAATCGTAGTTTTAGGGTCAATTAATAAATACACTTTAGGATATCAAAGAGAAATTGTATCGCTTCTGATTGCCAGTTAGAAATTGGTTATGTTGGAGGAATTATGACTCCAGCCATGTCTTTAGCTCACTGCTTCAGTCCAGACTGAAATCTCTCGAAAACGACTGGATGGATTGAATTCATGATCCATCGTTCTCAGCTGTTTTAGATTCAGTCTCAGAGTTGTGATGAAAATTCTTGTTAGTTTTAGTCACAATTTAGTTCCAGCGGTCCGACAGCCTCTGGCTCCACTGCCGTTCAGAGGCTAACAAAACATCCTGGCACAGACTATTTACTGGAGTTTACCAGCCTGTCACTCATGCAGCTGTTTTCAGCTTTCAATGTCCAATAGTCCACTGCTAACATTTTCCTCACATCTTGTCAAGGAAAATGAAACATAGATTTTGTCTTAGTTTTTATCATCGAGATCTATTTTTAGCTCGTCATTGGCTCGTTTTCGTCATGGACAAAAGGTCGCTGACAAAAAAAATTCGTCATAGTTTTGGTCAATGAAATAAACACTGGTATAAGCACAATCGGTGAGGAGAACACCTGACATGGTAAACATTACACCTCCTTAACATCAGCATGTTAGCATCGTTATTTTGAGCATGTTAGCATGCTGACATTAGCATTTAGCTCAAGTCACCAATGTGCCTGAGTGCAAGGAGCTGTTAGCATGGCTGTAGACTCTTGGAGATGTCCACATACTTTTGTCCACAAAGTAAAAGCAGCTTCATTCATTACTTTTAATCATGTCTTCCTTCCACCCCTCCAATAAACAGTTAGCCTACCCAGGAGCTGATGGAAACATGATCCCGTTCCCTCCAGGCCCTGTAGACCAGAACGTGGTGGAGAGCCAGGGGGTGGAGCTGGACTACACTAACTCCACCTATTCTCGTGGCCACTTGGACCCCAGCCTCCACCACCAGAGCCACGAGGACCGCTCCGCCACCTTCACCCTCACCAACGTGGTTCCCCAGAAGGCCGGCTCTAATGACGGGCCCTGGGAGGACCTGGAGCAGACCATCAACAAAACCTTATCGGCCTACTGTCTTGGAGAGGCTTACGTAGTTACTGGTATCATCCCTTACCAGAGCGACGAACACTGGCTCAAGAATCACCGCGTGGCTGTGCCTGAGTACATGTGGTCTGCCTACTGCTGTCCAAACTACAACAACAGTCTTCCAGAAGAACTGAAGGATGCTTTTCCCACGTACGCAGCTATCGGCCGCAACGACCGCAACAGCACGGAGGAGATTGTGCCGGTGAGCCAGACGGCAAAGAAACAGTTCAGAGGATACGATGTGAGACAGATGCCACTGGATACACTTGAGATGTATCTGAGGGACAGGTTCGGGACGGTTGTCAGTGTTTTCTATGAGCAGTGCTCCGGGTCGGACTGATCCTGCAGGTCTGAGGCACAAAGCCTATTTGGTTAAGTCTGGGAAAGACTGTGGTGGTCATGGTTAAAGGAAACCAACCCTGACTTTAAAATACTGTGATGTGTTTGTTTCCCTTTAAAGACGAGAAGAAGAAGAAAGGAAGAATTAATTATTTTGACAGTTAATGGACTGACAAATCTGCTGATTTATTGCTGCATAAAAAGCCTCTTATAAAGGTTTCATTGATCAAGACAGTGATTCTTATGTTGCTGGGGGGTTTTAACCACTGATGTGCGACGTTTGCCCTGAATTTATTTTGGGGCTAATAACAAACAAATGAAGCTTGTTTTAAAGGAAGAGTTTGACTTTTTATTTTCTTGCCATGAGTCAACAAGAAGACGGATATTATCTGTCTGTTAAATATAAAGGTGAAGCCAAAAGGCAGTTAGCTTAGCTTAGCATAAAGACCACAGCCTGGCCCCTCCCATAAAACCCCAGGTTTCGTATGGATTAAACACACACACAAATACAGCTTGTTTTAGAGGAAGAGTTTGACTTTTTGGAGAAAAAAAAGGTGTTTATTTTCCTGCTGAGAGTCACATCTGTCCAAAAAATATACATTTGAAGACATGACACTGTTAGCTTAGCATAGCTTAGCATTAAGGCCCGAGCCTGGCCCCCGCCATAACTTGTTGTTGTTTTTACACCTCAGTTTTCATACAGAGTAAACACACACAAACAAAGTTTTTTTAAGCGTCAAAGGGAAGATTGATACCATCTGTCTGGTTAATACAAAGGTGGAGCCATAAGGTAGTTAGCTTAGCTTAGCATAAGGACCATTGCCGGGCCCCTGCCGTAAAACAGTAAGCCTACCTACTTGTTTTTAAGGAAGAGTCTGACTTATTTTCTTGCTGAGAGTCAAAGAGAAGACTGTTAAATATGAAGGTTGAGCCATGAGATGAGATGAGCTTAGCTTAGCATAAAGACCATTGCCTGGCCCCTCCCATTAAACCCCAGGTTTCGTATGGATTAAACACACACAAACAAATACAGCTTGTTTTTAAGGAAGAGTTTGACTTTTTATTTTCTTGCCGTGAGTCAGCGGGAAAATTGATACCATCTGTCTGGTAAATACAAAGGTGGTTGGCTTAGCTTAGCATAAAGACCATAGCCTGGCTGCTACCATTAACAGTTAGCCTACTGGTTGTTTTTACACCTCAGGTTTCGTTAGGATTAAACACACAAATACAGCTTGTTTTAAAGGAAGAGTATGAATTTTGGAGAAAAAAAGGTATTTATTTTCTTGCAGAGAGTCAGATTTGTCCATTAAATATAGATTTGGGGACATGAGACTGTTATCTTAGCTTAGCTTAGCTTAGCTTAGTATAAAGACCATAGCCTGGCCCCTGACATAAGACCTCAGGTTTCGTTGAGATGAAACGCACAAACAGCTTGTTTTAAAGGAAGAGTTTGACTTTTTGGAACATCATATCTGTCCATTAAATATAAATTTACACCTGTTCCCTGTGGAATGTTCCAACAGGTGTTTTTTGAGCATTCAACAACTCTGTCACAACTTTTTTGGAATGTGTCGCAGCATAAAATTCAGAATAAGTGTATATTTTACAAAAACAAATAAAGTTTGAACATTAAATATCTTGTCTTTGGGCTGCATTCATTTGAATATGGGTCAAAAATGATTCACAAATCATTGCACTCTGTTTTTATTTACATTTTACACAATGTCCCAACTTTTTTGGAGTTGGGGATGTACATGAATATACAGTATTATTTGTGTTATGGTATTCCTGAAGATGCATACATTGACCACTAGATGGTGACCTTGTGCAATACATGTATATGAGTTGCATCCTCTGCTCAACAGAATTCGTCTGTATTTCAAAGATACACCAGACCTCATTATCTTTGACATCAATTTGTGTTTTTGTCTTATTATTTACTACATAATGTAAATGACGTTTTATTCTATATTTGACACAGAAAAAACACTTAAGTCTTTTTGTATCACATCAATTTACACAGGCTCAGCTGATGGACGTTTTCTGAACATGTATAAAATAAGAAGAAGTTATATTTGTGCTTCAAATGAAAAATAAACACATGTTAATGAATAGCATAAGATAACTCATTTAGTCAAACATGAACTTGTTCCACCAGTTGGACTCGACAGATGTTTTACCAAGACTTTTTGGTTTTGTATGTTTCTGTAACGATCACTCAGACACAAGTTTGTTCATATCAGACTGGATTTATTGCATGAACACACGGTACAGTCAGTACAGGTGCACAATGGGCTAAACATATCGAGCACTACACACTGGCATGCCAAACTGGATTATTTTGTCAAAAATGAATCACTTAATACGGACTTTGCCCTGATGGAGGAGTGAAGAGCTTGTCCCACACCTCCACCTTCATGATAGCCCTGCCCATCGGGGACATGATACCCTTGATGTCCAAGTTCCTGCCCACATACGTGAAGCCATTGCCTTTGGCCTCATCCCTCAGAAAGCACTTCTGCTCTTTCTCATAGTACATCTCTTTGTACAGCGCCTCATTGCACTCTCGATCTCTCTCATAGATTCCCAAGCCTGCCCAGTTTTGGTAGATGTTATAGTCGTAGGGCACAGAGAACATTATCGCCATTTTCTCTGTGACACCATGTTGCTGATGATACAGGTCGTAGGTCAGGACGCCCACTGCGCCGGAGGTTTTGCCGCTGCCCTTGGAGAAATTGCACACTTCAGTTTTCATAGAGCGCACAGTGGGCTGGGGTGGGCTGTGGACGTGGCCATTGTCCAGGAAAACCCTTTTTTTGAAAGGCAGAGAAAAAGCAGAGAGGGAATAAGAGTGACTGCGAGTAATGAACTGATGTAGCTGTGCTTGTATTTGAACCTCAATTTATCCGTGCAACTGAAATTGACACACACTCTATTTTTTTGGCAATACTGTCTTTAAGTGTTGCACTTACTTTGGGTCAATGAGGCAATAGTTGCTGGAGAGGTTGGTGATCTCAATGGTGACATTTCTTCGGCTTTTGAGGTTCGCAGCCAAAGCTTCTGCTGATTCACTCATGTTGCTGCTGCTGGTGAAGTCTGCAACAAAACACTGTATTAATATAAATATCCTTATGTTAATAGTTGCTATGATAAAAGATACACAACTTACTGAACAATATTTGTCAGTAAACCTCCAAACACAGCAGAGAAATAATCTGGCTTACCTGTTCAGATCACGGGTGCGCTGCTCATTTGAGCGATGCCAGACTGGGCTCACTCTTCAGATCATTCTTGTTGGGGAATGTGTGGCACCTTAAGCCCATCCCAAAACTGTCTCCACCCACACACACCTACTCCCATGTTTCTCGCAGTCTTCCCCTGAGGTATGTTCTGCATACTGAGGCGTGAAGACAGGGCGTAGCCAACGATAAGGACATTGCTGTGGTATTTTTGTGTTTTCACAGTGTCTTTATTTTTGCCAAGCCACAAGCCGGTTTGTTCGACCTTTCGTGACACAGTGTCAGAGCTCAGTGTTTGCCTTTGTGCCACACCTTTTGTCTCTGCTGTTTCTACTGTCTGCATGAGACTGTTTATTCTAATACTTTTACTCCAAATGATTCGCATCATTTTTATTCACTTTAACCTTTGTTACTGTGTGCAAATGTTCATGTGTGATGACTCAAATTAAGTGTGACTGGTGGACTCTAGTGATGTCTGTGTTGTGTACATATATGAGGCCCAGACCGTGGATATTTTTGAAGGCGATCTCCATTTATTCCTCTCCTGACTCTCCCACAGAGCACAATGGCAAAAGGGCATGTTACATTTAAATAAGCACAATGAAACACAGAAAACATTCCTGACAGCAAGTGGCAAAAACAAAATCCTCCGTCACACACAACCATACAAACTCCACACAAGCAACACAAGATAGAAGTGAAGCTGACCCCTTGACCTTTTGGATATAAAATGTCATCATGTTATATCATCATCAGTTTATCCTATTAGACATTTCTGTAACATTGTGTCATAATTACCTCTGCCAAGGAGGTTATGTTTTCGCCGGTGTTTGTCTGCAAAATAACTCAAAAAGTTCTGAACGGATTTTGATGAAATTTTCAGGAAAGGTTTATAATGGGACAAGGAACAGATGATAATAAAATGGTGGGAAATCCGAGCTGCTTGGCGGAGGTCTGCTCTTTCCGAGTGCTCTAGTTAGCGCATGAATTCTTGAGTTACAGTCAAAAACATTTTTTGTGAGGTCACAGTGACCTTTGACCTGTGACCATCAAAATCTAATCAGTTCATTCTTGAGTACAAGTGAACATTTCTGCCAAATTTAAAAAAAAAAAAATCCCTCAAAGTTTAATTGTGATATCGCCTCCTTGGGAATGAGACAGACACAAGGTCACAGTGACGTTGACCTTTGACCACCAAATTCTAATCAGTTCAATGCTGAGTCCAAGTGAACATTCATGTCAAATTTGAATAAATTGCCTCAATGTGTTGTCACAGTGACCTTTACCTTTGACCTATGACCACCAAATTCATTGCCGAGTCTGAGTGAACGTTTGTGCCACATTTGCAGAATTTCCCTCAAGCTGTTCTTGAGATATCGGGATCACAACAATTAGAAGGATGCAAGTTCACAATGACCTTGACCTTTCACCACCAAAATCTAATCAGTGCATTACAGAGACCAAGTTAGCGTTTGTGCCAGATTTAAAGAAATTCCCTTAATGTGCTTTTGAGATTCATGAGAATGGGATTGACAGATGACAACCCAAAGAACTAACGCCTCTGGTCACAGCTATCGCCGGCACAGAGGCATAAAAAAGTCAAAGACAAGAAATGTGTGAGATTGTTTATTGTTTATTTAAAGCACCCGTACATGACACGTATGACAGACATGTTGTATGTAGGTTTTTAGGACTATGCATCTTTTTTTTATTTTACACCAAAGCATTCATTCCAGGCTCAATGGGGCATCTTGTCATACAGCTCCAGCTTAATTATGGCCTTGCCCTCATCGGACATGCAGCCCCTCACTTCCAAAAACTTCCCCTTAAACACCACCCCTGAGCCGTTGGCCTCATGCCGCTGAAAGTTGACGCATTCCTTGTCATTGTACATGAGATCGAACAGCTTGTCATCGCAGGGTTTCGTGTGCTCAAAGATGCCCAGCCCCAGCCAGTTCTTGTAGAAGTTGTAGTCAAATGGCACCGAGAACATGATGGCGATCAACTCGCTGCACTGGCGGCTCTGCATGTGGAACAGCTCGTAGGTCATGACGCCCACAGCACCTGATGCCGTGTTGTCGTCCTTGATGAAAGAGCACACCTCGGTCATAGTGGGGCGCAGGGTTGGCTGCGGGGGGTTGTAGACGAAGCCACTTTCCATGTGCACCCTGCAGGGTAGAAGGGGGTAGATGCAGTTATGAGTGGTGGAAGAAGTACTCAGATCCTCTCCTCAATTGAAATACTAATACCACAATGTCAAAAACGTTTTCATTTTCATTCATTCATTTTCTGTAACTGCTTATCATGTTAGGTGTCATGGGGGGGTGGAGCCTATCCCAGCTGACACTGGGTGAGAGGCTGGGTTCACCCTGGACAGGTCACCAGACTATCACAGGTCTGACACATAGAGACAGACAACCATTCACACTCACATTCACACCTACGGACAATTTAGAGTCACCAATTAACCTGCATGTCTTTGGACTGTGGGAGGAAGCTGGAGCACCTGGAGGAAACCCGCGCTGACACAGGGAGAACACGCAAACTCCACCCTGGGTTTGCACCAGGAAATCGTCTTGCTGTTAGGTGACAATGTTAACCACTGCACCACTCCGTACCTACAGCGTAGGCTCTGCATTGATGTGGAGCCTATGCCATACCCTAAGCCGTAGAGCCTGACGTGCACCTCGCAGCAGCGCAGACTTCCTGTTTGTTTTTGTAAGCTGAAACCATTTCCCTCAGTGGAAACAAAACTTTTATTTTCTTAAATTTCACAGAAGAAACAATAAATTGTGAAGACAATAAAGCCTCCACAAAAATAGCATTTAAAGTTTTATACAATGTAAAATGCCATAGGCTTGTGCTAATAATGTTAGCATGTTGTATTTGTTTGTAAAACGTGTTTAGTATTAGACAGTTGTTTTGTCAGTGAACCTTGTGAGTTGTAATGGAGCTGAATTTTGTAACGTTACCTTTGTTAAATGTTGCTGTTGTCTCTGGTTTTATATGAGTAGAGGTAAAGTCTGCTAGCTGCTATGCTAATTTATACAATGTAAAATGCCATAGGCTTGTGCTAATAACGTTAGCATGTTGTATTTGTGGGGAAAATGTGTCCAGATAAAGACAAGTGTTTGTCTGTGAATGCTGCGAGTTATAGTGAAGCTGATTTGTGTTTGAAACTGTCTCTATGAAGCCATGTTTAATGTGTGTTTAATGTGTGTTTAATGTGTGTTCAATGTGTGTTTAATGTGTGTTTTGAATCAACTAAACTTTGCAGCATTTTACAGAAACCCCACCGCCAACTAGTGTTTTGGAGGTGTAACTGCAGAGTGACACAGACACACCACCACACAAGTATAAATGCTCAAAATGTGCTTAGGCTACAGCGTAGGTTCTGCACAGAGCTGACGCACAAGAATAAATCCCTTAAAAAAGCACTTCAGCATTGGCTTCACTTTTCAGACCCGGAGGCTACGTCCACCTCGTGCATACAGTCTATAGTCACGACCCGCAAAAGATTGGAAAACATTTGTTTAAGCTTCAACAGTTAGTTGTATTTTATCAGATATGAAATTTTATATTAAATCTTAATCAAGTCCTGAACAAATAAATGTACTGGAGTATAAAAGTACCATGAGCACAAATACAATGAAAATACTCATGTGAAGTGCATCAAAACTGTACTTGAGTAAATGTACTTAGTTACTTTCCACCACCAGTAGTCATGCATAAATGGATTTGAGTATATTTCAGACATTTGGCTGCAAAAAGGCTGCACAGCGATTCTTACTTTGGGTTGGTGAGACAGAAGCTCTTGCTGACATTGGTGATCTCTATGGTGCAGTTGCGGTTGGTGGTGAGAGTGTGGGAGTGGGCCTCTGCAGTGTCGTGCATGGTGGCGGCTGCTGGAGACGGCTGGATGACAGGAGGTGAAGAAAAGAGCTGCGAACGACAGAAAGCGATGAAGATGTTTTAATGTCTGTTAAAGTAGAAGTTGTAGTTTATGTGGAAACTTCTCTGAATGATCTTCATGAAACAGAATCAGGTAGAGAAATGTATCTGAGCCTGATAGGATTTATTTTACTGACACAAACTGCTGAGAGGCTGCAAACCATCGTTCTACATGATATAACCTGCGATGCATTCAAACATGACATCACAGCAGCAAACTTTTATCTCGACACAAAATGAAGAGCTACATCCATCTCTGCTGAGCAGCGCTGACTCATTTCATCACTACGTTTTAAAGCAGGTCTATCCTCTGTGAATACTGCAGAATTATATGAAGGTAAATGTACTTACTTTATTTTATGTCGCACACACAGGACGGCAGCGAGTCCTCTGAAAACAGGTCAGAGTTTGATTCAGAGACAAGTATGAAGTCACACCCTCCCAGGCAGAGTCACACCTCGCTGACAGTGTGAGGCGACAGTGGGTGTGTCAATGCTCACCTGTGATGCCAGTTATGTGTGACGGTTTATACCTGTCAGGGGAGCTGCAGGGAACACACTGGAGGGGAGAAGCATTGATGATGTGTCTGATGTGAATTAAAAGACTGATGATGGAAAAAAAGGTGAACAACACATGAACTTTTTGTGGCTGGCTGTTGTTGGGTGAAATACAGAGACGTCTGGAGAGATTTGAGGAGTGAACAGTTGCAGCCCCACCTGTCAGACGGTCGGTACACCTGATAATGACGGTGACTAATTTTAGATGAATCATAAACCTCCTGAACCGGTTCCTCTCAAAGAGCACATTCCAACAGTTGGAAATAAATGATGTTTTCTAAGTGACTGTTTCCATGTTGTGTTGTTTTATTAAAGTTCATGTGCCAAAGACTGATGAATGAGCACGATGTGATGAAACAGACCTCTCATTGTCTTAATGCTCCTTCTGTATGTGGAACCTGTTCCTGCGCGCACTGAGAGAAAGTGATGGATAACATTTGGACAAGTCGCCTGTCCATTCAGAGGGAACAGCAAACATTCAGACCATCAGGTATACATGCACATGGATGGATTACTGAACGAGACAATGACACAACCGCAAAGAGATGCAAAACAACCAAAGAGACACTCAAAATGAGAGCAAAGCAACAGAAAATGACCACAGAGATGCAAAACAACCAGAGAGCAACTCAATATGAATGCAGAGATGAAAAAGACTACAAAGCAACATGGAGCAATGACAAAGAGATGCAAATTACTACAAAGCAACACAGAACAGCCACAAAGAGATGCAAAATGACCAAAGAGACACTCAAAATGAGAGCAAAGCGACAGAAAATGACCACAGAGATGCAAAAATACGAGAGAGAAACAACCCGATGATTCAAACTTGTCATTTTTCAGGTGAACTTTCTCTTTCAAACTTTAGCAGGATTGTGGATGTGGTATTTAGGCCTCATGTGTTTGTACATTGTTGTATTGTTTCTTTGTATTTATTGAGTAAAGACTTTGAGCCTTTCTTCCCTCACTGCAGACACAAGATGGTCCTCAGTGTGCAGCCATGTTTTGGCACCGCGGGAGGAAACACCACAGAAACACTTTAAACCCTCAGCTGGTTTATAACCTGCATCACATCCAACATGCGCGATTTTAAAAAGCAAAATATCAGCTGGTTGAGGGGTTTAAAATCATGATGATGTCATCACAATGTGTTGCACCCCCCCCCACACACACACACATCTCTGTCTCCTCATCTCCTGCCAACTCTACACTGTGCACGAGTACAGCTGTGATCTGTTGTCACAGCAGAGCAGAACGTTTGTGCCAACGCCTTGACTCGTCCAGCCGGTAGAACGACACGGTGTCATCACCACTCCCATCAACATTAGAACAATTCTGTGGTGTCTGGATTTTACCACGTCTGCAGATTAAAACTAATCCGCCTCATCAGTCTGATATCAAATTTCAGATCCATTAAAGTACATTTTATCTACTTTTTTAATAAAGTAAATGTTCTCCTGCAGATTCTTTAATGTTTTCCTTCAATATCAACTCTGGCAGCATGTGCAAAGAAAACATTTGCCTCTTGCCTTGAACATGCACTATAGGATCATGTCTTCATGGGGATGTTACAGAGTGAGAGTCATCAGAGCAGCCACTCTAGATTCATTACGCTCCTTCCATTAAATCATAGTTTGACAAAATGGAAACACCCAAATTATCTGTTCTCTTAATGTTTGCCAGCTTCCTTTCCTCCACACGAAGATAAAGAAAAGCAAACACGAAACCTGATGAGTGAAGTCGTCACGTGCATGAAAAGAGGTGACGACCTGAAGGCCCACGTCTGCGCAGGACTCCACTTATTTGATAAATAATCTGTGAGATTAAATTTGTGCTTGTGATCCTCATGAAGGAGGAAGATCTTCTTTATCCACACAGCTCCTGTCTTCATCAGGGGACAAACAGAGGTCAGGCTTTGGAAACATTTTCAATCAACACACAGAAAACATCCTGCAGATAATCAAGACCTCATCTGTCTCACCTTGGTTCATTTGTGCCACATCAGCGCCATCTTGTGGTCGAATCAAGAGACAGAGGAATAAAGAGACACCAGGACGGACAGATGAAGCTTCCTGCAAGACAACAAAAATGAGCCTTTATCTGTCTCTCTTTCTGGACCAGTGGTTCCCAACTGGGGGTCCAAAAGTGGGTCATGGGTTCTGAATGGTCAAAAGTTTGTAAAAAACAAATTGTATTTTTAAGTACAGTGAATTTCCAACACAGAGTTTTTATTTTGAAGTGCTGTTTCCTGCTGTAGAGTGAGAGACTAACAGACAGCTACCTGACAGAGACAGAAAACCAGCTCAATGACATGACACCGAATATATTAACCTGTGTGGACCTTGAACTGACGATGAAGGAGAGATCTGGACCAGCTGGGAACCACTGATCTAGAGCCCCATCCATCCATTTTCACACACTTATCCGAGGCTGCTACCCAGAGCTCATGTCCATAGGTGAGGGTTGGGACGTGATGTCGACAGCGCTCGTCTTAAAGTCGAGACAACTCTGTCCCCTGATTCCGGGATCATACCTCATGTACAGCACGGCGAGGTGCATAACGGCGTGATATTCCCGCTTTGAACAGTCAGTGTAAAATGGGCTCATAACAGATATTGTTATCACTTCTAAAACTCATCTACAGATCCTCTCAATTATTTTCATTTAATTATTATAATTACTTTCTCTTTGTAATTTTCCACACCTTATAAAATACAAACATCTGACAAGAGATGTCCCCTGTGTGGCCCCGTAGATTGCGCCCCTGCTACCAAGTTCCTCTCAGTCTGTGTTTGATGGGGAGAAACTCTTCCTCTCTACTTAACAGATTGATGTATCTCAGTCAGATGATGATGATGATGATGATGATGATGTCTGTCACGCTGCGTCTGGATATGGAAATGTGGCGCGCAAACGAGGCGCGCGTCTCCACGAGCCGTGCGTCAACGTTCCTGGACAGATATTTCGGACCGTGTGAACTGATGACTGTGACACGAAGATGACTCTCTCCTCGGCGACCTCCTCCTCTTGGAGAGCGGAGTCTGTGGTCATCTCTTTGGGCTTCGCGGTCATCTTCCTGCTCGGCACCGTGGGGAACTCTCTGGTCCTCGCGGTCCTGTTCCGTAACGGACAGATGAACACCAAGACCACCAACATGTTCATCCTCAACCTCGCGATAGCAGACCTGTGCTTCATCGTGTTCTGTGTGCCCTTCCAGGCCACCATCTACACCCTGGATCAGTGGGTGTTCGGTCCTGTGCTCTGTAAAGTCGTGCACTTCATCATTTTCCTCACCATGTACGCGAGTATCTTCACCCTGACCGCGGTGTCCCTGGACAGGTGCGTGCTCTCACATGTCATTAACTTCATACTCACACAACCTGCAGAATCAATGCACGTTATGGTAAATTGATCACAGGGATGGGGGGGGGGGGGGGGGG